TCCGAATACCATTTTTTGAGCTTCGAAGCTTCGGTAGTAATCAACGCTGAATATTCGAAGCTTTGGAGGAAGAGGGCTAAACATATTCTTCTCTCAACACGTGTCTACACCGAACGCAGCAACAAAATACAATAGAACCTATAGGATGCTGTCTACACTGAATGCGGCGCGACAAATTCCCGACAGTAAACTGCTGCTGCGTTCTATTTATGACGTGCTGACACAAATTTCAAGTGATTTTCAACGGTCGCTTTCTCCAGTCCAGTGTAGACAGACTTTAGTTGTTGCGGCGCAACACAACTGTCGCGTCCGATGTATACACGACCTGTAATAAAGGCAGGAATCTGTGTGTGTCTGTCTGTCTGTTTGCATTTTTATTATGTCGAGAACCGTTCATCCAATCGACTTCACGCGTGGCGGGTGTGTTAGTGCAGTGTTGCATTTTGGTGCAATATGGCCACGCGACACGTTCAGAGTTAATCAACTTTTAATAAACTATAGAACAGTGCGACCTGGAAGCAGCGCGCCTCACGCGGGCAGGGCTTATACTCTTCGAGAACGGACACTGCACTAGTGATACAAAACACACAGGTCTGTTAAAAGCAATACTTTAAATATAGACAAATTATTATAAGGCTGGGCTACTGTATGGTTTTTTTTATGAGTGCTGTATTCGCAAGTATTTTCCGAGCAAATTAAGTGCACGTTTTTATCATGTGTAAAATTACTGATTAACATGGCGGATAAAAGCAGCTTGTTTTTTTTACACTTATAATATACTATAAGCGTACTTACAGAACTCGGCTGATTTTTCAAACTTAAAGTGCTCCCACACAGCTGAGGTCTTCGGCATTTTTGTCTTCTCTTCCAGATGAACTGAATCATGACGTTCACTCATGGGCGATTCATATTCAAGCGCGAATGAGAACCGTTTTGCGGAGGATGACAGGTGTTCGAGAAAAAAAAAAGAATATTCGAATCTCAAAATTGAAAATCGAATGCCAACCCATCGAACGAATAATCTAATATTCTGGTCCAACCCTACTAACCATCTATCCATCCATCTATCCTCCAAATAGTCTTTCAGCGAACAGTTCTTAAAACAACCATTTTTATCTTTAATAATGGAAGGAATATTTTTGCACTATAAAGAAAGGTTTTATGGATGTTAAAAATATTTTGAATAATGCTAGCAAACAAACATGTGATGGTAGCCATTGACTTCCATAGTATTTTTTCCATACTACGGAAATCAATGGCTACCGTCAACTGTTTGGTTACCAACATTCTGCCAAATATCTTTTTTTGTGTTCAGCAGAAACTCATACAGGTTTGGAACAACTTGAGGGCGAGTAAATGATGACAAAATGTGACGGACGACCCCCTTTTATGGATGCCAGTGAAGAACCTTTATTTTGAAATGTCTGCTTTTTGATTTTACTTTTTTGATACTTATAACAGCAAAGCCTTTTGTGAATGTGTATCTTTAACTACACACCATCATAAACATCCGCTCAGGATTGAGCAAAACTTCTGCTGGACTGATTCAAACCACTGAGACGACTCTTAAGAATCGTTTGTTTGAGAGTCTACAGACTCTCAGAGATCATGTCTAATGTAATTTGGAGCGTCTCAGGCCGTGTTGATGTTTCGGGAATCAGTCAGCTGAAGGTTTCTGGAGCGTCGCGTGAAGCTGCCAGACGCCTCGGCGGCTCTCGACCCACATCTGGACTCCATCAGCTCAAACAGCGAACGGCCGCGGGGAAAGTAACGACTGCTAATCTATTCGCAATGCAGGGAAAGTGAGCGCCGCCTTTGATTTCCAACAGCAAATCATGTCCGTTTGTTGAGTTTCTGGCTCTGGACGAGCGTTTTTCTGGAATCTCTCAGCATACTCTCTGTCCACTGCATACAACAACATCACCAGCCTTTGTTTCTGGTGCATTTTTGTGCTTTTTATCATTAATTTAAATGTAAAACTGTTCTTTTATTCCACTGAAGCTAAACACAGTTTAATTATTACACTGAAGATGTAAATATGAAGCTGAATGGAACAGGGTTTCTGCGTAAAATCAGATTAATGAACTACTTTTCTGACTGATTTACACAGAAATAAATCAATTTGGTGATTCATGAATCAGGCTCGTCATGATTTCACGCACACTCTTTATATTCAACACGAAGTGCTTTACAGAGATAAACCTGGCGTTCCCTCGCACACAAACACATTGAGATATCGCACTCTCTCTGTTATGATAAGATAGACGCTTCAGACTCGTGTTCAGCTTATTAACACTCCAGTTTATCACATGTTTTCAGTGTCGCTCCACTATCTGCTGTACCCAGACACACACATTCTCAGTGTGAGCGTGTGCTTAATATTTGTGCTAGTTTGATGACTGGCTTCAATACTACAACTGCAACTATTTAAATTCATCACACAGGATTTCATTTGTAAGATTTGGTCAGTTTTCTATGGTAATACTTACTACCCTGCTATCAGCAAGATACATTTCCAGACAGGCAGACTGACCGTTTCCAACAAAAACTATTTCCAAAAAATAAATACTTTACAAAAAACATGTCTAAAAATAAATACAAATACATAAAATAACTTCTGACAAGATACGTCCAAAAATAAAAATAATTACCAATAAAAAAAGCTAAATATAAATAAATAAATTCCAAAAAAAGTGTCCAAACATAAAGATAACTACTTTTAAAAAAGTACAAAATAAATAAATAAAAATAAGTTATTTGTAAAAAAAACATTTTTTTTAATAATAAATCCAAAAATAAAAATAAATACATAATTTCACAAAAAAAGTGCTAAATATAAAATACATAAATTTAAAAAAATTATAAAAATCCAACAAAAATGAATGATTTCCAACAAAAAGCATGTCTAAAAAAGAATAACTATCTATGTATTACATTTTTTTTTAAAATAAATAAATAAAATATTTTAGAAAACACATATTACCTTTTGGTAATGCTGGCATTAAATCTATTTTTAACATGTTTTTCCACTTATATTAATACTGACTGATCAATTTTCCAGTGTGAATTTCACGGAGTAAAAGGTGTGCGTGGGTTCGGAGTTTAACTGTGAAACTGGTGTAAAACAGCTGCTGCCGTCTCAAACGCTCCACGCCACTGAAAAAACCTTCGGCTCTTTCCAGATGTAAATCATGAACAGCTTTTTCCTTCTATTTTTCCATTCTGGCATCGAGAGCCCTTCACAGCCAAAAACTTCAGGCCTCCATTTCTCCCTCCCTCCCTCTCTCTCTTTCTACACATCGGCTCCTAATGGCTTCCATCTCTGGTTGGGTTTAGCTGCTAATTCAGCAGAAATAATGGGCCTGGGGAAAACAAAAGCTCAGGCAGTTTAATGCATGAACATGTGCTGCAGAGCTGCTCATAAACTAGCATCACCTCCTGAACCCCTGGAAGCCCCGAGACTCTCGTTCTCCTTCAAACCAACATCTAGAAGGAGCCGGAGTCTCTTACAAGACGATCACTGCATCCCAGTCTTTGTGAACGCAATGCAACCGAACTGAACGAGAACTTGCATGAAGAGAGAGTGTTTTAAAGTGTGTTTGTTCTTCATGAATAAAATAACATATGCAAATGACGTCCAGATAAAGACCTGTGAGCCCCTACCGACAGAACAACAAAACACCGATGCATGTGCTAAAAGCTTCTGAAGCTGGATTCAGTTCTTGTAGCTAAAAACGTGCCTGCAATGACAAAAAATTGGTTGTATTTTTACGCAAAAATTGCTAGAAAGTTTCACGAACAATTACAAGGAAACAGCAATTAACACATTTAACGTGAAATTTTGAAGTAGCACACACACATAGAAACACACACACACAGAAACACGCACACACACATAGAAACACACACACACAGAAACACGCACACACACACAGAAACACATGCACACACACACAGAAACACATGCACACACAGAAGCACACACAGAAACACACGCACACACACACACACACACAGAGACAAACACACACACAGACAAACACACACGCACACACAGAGACACACGCACACAGACACACACACACACACACACACAGAGACACACACACACACAGACAAACACACACACACCCACAGAGACACACGCACACAGACACACACACACACACACACAGACACACACACACACACACACACAGAGACACACACACACACAGACAAACACACACACACCCACAGAGACACACGCACACAGACACACACACACACACACACAGACACACACACACACACACACACAGAGACACACACACACACAGACAAACACACACACACCCACAGAGACACACGCACACAGACACACACACACACACACACAGACACACACACACACACACACACAGAGACACACACACACACAGACAAACACACACACACCCACAGAGACACACGCACACAGACACACACACACACACACACAGACACACACACACACACACACACAGAGACACACACACACACACACACACACACACACAGAGACACACACACACACACACACACACACACACAGAGACACACACACACACACACACACACAAAGCAAAATCAATCACACTAAGATAACATTGTGTGTTTTACAACCACTGTAAGTTATACACGGAGAACGTTTAGATTTATACATTCAGTCGTGTTTGTTTTTGTTGTTTTAAACGCTTTAATCGTTTATAAACTGTACCCACAGTTGTGATTTTCTGCGCTGTATGTTTTTTCCTCGTATTTAGCTTCATCTGAATCTACGAAAGCGAATGTGTTGATCGTGAAAAGACACACAAAGGATCTGAGGTAAAATAAATAAATAAATAAAGAACACTCACAGACGCGTGATCCGCGCGGGGAGCCTCTCCGCGATCCTGCCGTGTTTTAATCCACTACAGTCCGCTAAATATCCCGCACACGAGCACCCAGACGGACACGGCTCCGGCACCGGCTCCGAGCCTCCGTTAATCGGTGTAACCCCCGTAACGAGAAACACGAGCAGCACGAAGCTCACGGCGCGAGCGGGCTGCGGCATTTTCACCCGGAGGGGAAAAAACTAATAAAAAGTTGACGAAATCGAGCCGTAAAAGTTTTAATTCCGCACGAATATGGAAGATGGGGAAGCTCTTGGCAGGTCCGCGTCAACAGAACGTCCTTTTCGAGTTGAATATCATGGATAAAAGTGCAGATATCAGCGCCTCAGCCCTCGCTCCATCTCCGAGGAACCGTTCGGAATCAGAGCAGCATTCCGCGGCGCGCGCTCCTGTGGGCGGAGACAGCCGAAGATTGCCGAAGATTGCCGAAGCCCGCAGCGCGAGGGATTCTGGGTACTGTAGTGCAGCGAGACCACACGTGCGGTCTTTGCACTTTTTTTTTTTTTCAGAGATGACATTAATGAAATACGACTTTGCATACATTACACATAATGTATCAACAATACCTCCAATGTCATCTGAACATATGGAACATATGAGTGTTAAAAGAGAAAGATGCATTTAAATAGCTTTTTTATGAACATAAAGAAAGGCAGGAACAGAACAAATAAAGAAAAGAGGATTAAAAAAAAGTACTAATCACGGTAAATGAAAGATCTCATCATATCTCTTCAAAAAAGAAACATTTCTTTGTTATTAATTACTCTTAGTGATTTAATTAAATGTTCTACTTCACATCAGAAAGCTATAAAAGCAGGTATTTTCTTAAGAAACCTTTGTTTGTTAAAATAGAATTTTGCCACAAGGATAAGAAAGTTTTCTAGCAGATTCTAAAGTTTTGTTTTGGCTTTCAAAAAAGCAAACGACATCCTTAATTATCGTAAATTACGGTTCATATTAACTTTAGAAAAACAATAGGAACTCAAATCTTTCCAGAAAAGTGATGAAACATTACAAGAGAAAAATTAATGACAAATATCTTCACTTTCTTTTTTACAGAAGGTGCATATATCAGCTACATCGCAACATTTCGACACGAAAGCATTACAAGGGTATATATTATGCAA